TAGGAAATCTGATCAGTGGTGTTGTATTGGAATCAAATGAGTCAGTACCTTTGAGAAATACGTCCACCTACCCTTCCAAGTGCAGTGCCATCAGACAAATGCATTTGGAGTGTTTTCAAGATTGTAGTAAAAGAGAATAATGAAGAGGTTATACTGCAGAGGTCTGCATTGCCTGATAAAGCAACTGTCAGTCTGGGTTTATTGTTAGCATTTTTTCTTTCTCTGTATGTTGTATCCATGTTTATTAATTTAAAAGAAATGTTATTTCTCTATATTTGTTCATTCATGTAATATGTGTCCTGTTGTCAATTTTGTAATTGCTGCCTATAGATGTGCTACTCTAATTAGAGCTGACACCGTATTCTTGGACCCAAAACATCAAATTTCAGTACTGCAGTGAACCTGCATGGACACAGGCTCACGTTAAGCCAATCTCCAGCCTGACCTTCAGCCTTACAAAGTGTATAAGCCTCTTTCCTATCCTGAAAATACTTAGTCTTCTTTCACTGCATACTGTGAGCTTCTCATAGTGTGCATTAGTAACCGGTCACAGCGCTGTGATTTAAAATCTAATGATTTGTGTGCAATTTCAGCTCAATTTCAGGTGCGATTTCTGAAGACTTTATTGCTACTTGTGAAGATTTTCAACGATTTCTTGCAATTTGCAGTGCGATTTCCATTATATTCTATGTATGTGAAATCGCAACAAAACTGCAGGAAAAGTAATGCAAGAGCTACCTTAGAAATTGCACTGCAGCAAATAGAAAATGTTAAGACACAGACATTCACATTCATTAGATGCGATTTCAATTCCCACATCGTGCCGGTATGACCGGGCACTTAGAGCCTGCAGTATTTAAGACAGAGCCTGCCTAATTTCCTGGCTGGAGGACTTCCAGATTCTTTTCGCCATTTCCTCCCCAGCCTTACAGGTCCTGGCCCGTCCCTTTCATTCATTGGATTTCAGTGCTTTCATTCATGAAGGCTTAGCATTACATGCGATCGTTATATAGGGCAGCCAAGATACAAATGCAATCTGCCCAAGAACACCCTCTCGTCCAGAGCAACATTTACCCATGAAAACATTTTGATATTTACATAACTCCTCCTAAGAGCCAGCCTACTGTTTGGATAAGGTCTGAAGGCTCCTAAGAGGAGTACTGAAGCAGGGTATTGTATTGTTCTTCGGAAAAAATGCACAGCACCCAGTTGACCCTCCCACCAGCCAATATCTGTCTGCATGGCATAGAGAAACACAGAGATCTAGTGGCATGTATTTAAAACTTTTTTTTTTTTAATTCGGAAATGCAGTGCAAAGGTGGGATCAGTTCCATGTGTCAGATATTCAGCCATGAGAAGCAGCTCTCAGTAACTCTGTCAAGTTTACTGGGAAAGGAATTGAAATCTCCCCATTGGGGGAACCCAGAATGAAATATAAAAAAACTGGCAAATGTTCTAATCATTTGCCACAAAAAAAATTTTGCTGTATTTGAATGGTTTCTTCTCACAAGGGGAATCAATGGGAAATCTTTCCAGCATGAACTTGAACATCAATAAATACTTGAACTGCTTTTAACTCCTTATACTATTCAAATAAAGAAAAAGTTACGACTGGCGTTAACTTGGATATCAAATTAATTTGCTAAAGAATTTGTTTACAATGTTTCTATTTATCCCTATCTTCCAGTGCACAAAAACTGTAGAAAGAAAACCCCTTATATGAAATGTTGCTCATACTGACACGTTAACCATAACAGGTAAACGTACTCAGGGTACATCTCCAAAACACGCGTGTGATCTTGTCTCCAATATCTTAATAAAAATGAAGCTATTACCTCAAGAGAAGCATGTAAATACCTTTCTTTCTGCTGCCCCTGCCGTTGAACGCTGTTCTTTGCATAGCAATAGACCCCTGTTGTCTGCTGGAAAACCCACTCTTCTGAGAGTGTTGATCTCCTGTGCCCCGGGCAGTACTCACTGGTTCTTCTGCTGACCTCCACATCATTACAGGACAATATATCCAGGATATTTCCAATCTGGGTTGCTTTAAGGAGACTGCTGATGTTTGGGGGCATCTTGAGTTAGAAAATTAACCTATACTCTATGTTAGGTTTAGCAGGGCTTCTGAGCTCGGAGCTTAGTCCATTGCATATAGCTGGAGCGGAGCTGATCACATTTTCTAGATAAGCCCCAGAGCTGATGTTTTTGGAGCTGATGTGGACCTGAAATTAGAATGTAGCTAAGCTGCAAAGTCTAGAGCTGGCAACTGTGTTTTTTTCAGTGATACTTAACATGTCTGTCAAACATTTAAAATAGAATAGGACAGTATGTAATCAATTTTGTAGTCTAACTAGTGAAATACTATATTATTTAACCACTTGCCCTCCAGAGGATTTAATCTGCCCTTCGTAAACAGGCCATTTTTTGTGATACGGGGCTGCATTACTTTAACTGACAATTGCGCGATCATGCAGCGCTGGACTCAAATGAAATTTGCGTTCTGTTTTCCCAGAAATTCTTCTTTCTTTCGGTGGTATTTGATCGCCTGTGCATTTTTTATTTTTTGCGCTATAAACAAAAAAAGACCAAACAATTTTGAAAAAAAAAAAATATTTTTGACTTTTTGCTATAAAACATATCCAGTAAAAAATTTTAAAAAAATCAAATTTCGTCATATATTTTGGGCAAAATGTATTCTGCTACATGTCTTTGCTAAAAAGAAATCCCAATACATTTAAATGAATTGGTTTACGTGAAAGTTATAGCGGCTACAAAGGGCGGTATATATACTGGAATTAAAATAATTTTTTTTTTCTATACTAGTAATGGCGGCCGTCAGCAACTTCTAGTGGGACTGGGGTGGGAATTCTGACACTGGAGGGGAACTGACTAACTACCACTGATAATCTCCCAGTGACACTAATACAGTGATCAGTGCTAATAAAAATGTACTAATAACATTGGGCAGGAAGGGGTTAACAACTGGGCCAATCAAAGGGTTAACTGTGTGCTATTTTACTATTTTGTCTGTTTGCTTTACTGTGTAAGCACGTTGCTTTGTATTGCTTTGTATTGTATTACAAAGCAACGTGCTGGTGCTGACAGGGGAGAGATCTGTATTGCTTACATACAGACTTCTCCTCTGTCAGTGTTTCTCTGCGATTGCTGGGTGCAAGCTGGGAATCGCTGGCCGGGCAGTGATTGACAGCTGTAGGTGTGGGTAGGGCAGCGTGCGTGCGCATGTGCCCCCTACCTGTAAATACATAATCACGTATATATACGTGATTTTGCGCAGCCCTGCAGCAGTATTTCTACTATAGGGCAGTCTGGAAGCGGTTAATTATACTTTCTTATAACTATTTTTGTCAGTGTTTGTATAGGTTTTGTGATATACCCTGATGCAATACCTGAAAAAAGAAAAAACATGGAGTTTGTCATGTAGCTTTAACTGTATTAGAATCTCCGCTGAGAAATAATTCCATTAATGCACTTAGTACTTTCTTTGAACTTTTAGGTGATAGGCAGCCTCATTTATTAAAGCCCAACTCCAGCTCAAACATTTTTTAGTGTCTGTATCTTCCTGTTCAAATGACAAACAATCCTCCTATTTCCATAGGTGGAAAAATCTCAACAATTCAGCTAAAAACTAAGCCTTATTCAAATATCTCCAGGTCTATGGGCCTTCAAGATATTCCTTTGTTTTTGGCAAACATTTGCTGACACTACTTCAATCACGCAGCCCCCAGAATGGCAAGACAGGGCTGTGGATGGATTGTTAAGTGTTTAGAGGACCATATAACTATAATATAATCCTTTGCAGGCCTGTCACTATCAGACCAATTTGCTAATGTTTTTAACAGTTTTTACTGCCTCCAATTCACAGAAGTGCACTAATTGCCCTGCTACCATTCCAGTCATGCCACTAGTAGTCCCTTTCCCTGCTGTCTCAGGCTCATAGTAATTTTTTTTTTTGCCTTGATATTAAGAAGCTTAAAGAAGGAACCCAGTTCCCTCCTTCTAGGCAGGAATAGCCAATAACACTCCCTTCTTTAACATAAGTTATACAGTACATTTGTTAAGGCTAGAAAGTCCCACCTATATACATTCCATGTTTCCATTAGACAGGACATTCTTTCACTATAGTTTGTCTTAGAAAAATCCAAATATTTTCTTTAATAAATGTAGACCTGCAATGAATCCTAACATTTAAAACCATTTTTACAGAGCATATAGTGCCATATCGTGCCAGAAGAAACGTTTATTCTTATATAGTGATCCTCAGAGTTCTACCAAAGCACCTTTACAAATGTAGTAATAATCATTATTATTATTATTATTATACAGTATTTATAAAGCGCCAATAGTTCGCTCAGCGCTGTACATTACAAAGGGGGACAGAACATGCGACAGAACAATACCAATACAATGCAAAACATGAGGGGATCAAGGGCCCTGCTCTTTCGAGCTTACAATCTATGAGTTTACAATCATGCACTTTATATTTGTTTGGCAGTGTACAGAAGCTGAGCAGAAAAGTTCAGAATATGTTTTTGAGCTGGAACAGCCCTGGAACCTGAGTTTGGGGTGTGAAGCAGCTCTGGAGTCCAAACCTCAGTTTTTGCAGCTCCTTGAAGCTGGATTTGAAGGTTTGCTTAGACTCTGGAGCCAGCCTGGAGCTGAAGCTCAACTGCTGGAACCACTCCAGGGTGGGAACTGGCCAACATGAAGCACAATCAACCCTACTCTATATCTACACTGTATGGTCCTCTGTTTTAGTATCTGTACTATTTTCTTTTTTCTACCATCTCCAATAAAACTGTAAGGGAACAACAGGTTAGAACCTAGCTGGCAGCAGGTTAGGACAGTAACCACTACCTTTCCAGTCTCTCTAACATGAGGCAAAAACTATTATTTACAGAACTGCTTTCTCCTGCTAGAGGCACACTTTATGTTATATTCATTCTCTTATATGGTAACGGTTGTACATTTTAATGTTTCAGGTTCCCGAAGAAGAGCCTCTCTGGCAATGCTCAGTTCGATATGTGACATTTATGGGTATTGGGAAAGATTCTCATACATTTGCAATGATCGTGGATGTAGGCAAGCAGTGTTTCCAATGCACAGTATTCTGGTGTGAGCCAGATGCCGGACATGTCTCGGAGGCAGTACAGGCTGCATGTATGGTAAGTGGTGTGAAGGTGTCCTAGGAAGATGACTGACACTTGCCACTCATCTTTATTTTGAAAGGAGAACATTTTTGTAGCAGTCCTTATCCCCTATTATTGTTGTCTCAGGGCAAGACTCCTGTTCCTTTGGAGTTTTTTCAATTTTCTGACTTCCATTCCTGTTTCTACTGATTCTCCTGGGTCAATTTTAATTATTGAATTGCCTAATAGGTTATTGCCTTAATCATGTGACTCTTTTATTTATCAGGTTCAGTATCAAAAATGTGTCGTAGCATCGACACGGATGAAGCCCAAAGTTGGACATGGCAAATCCCTTCTGAAAATAAAGAGGACTACATCTGTGGACTCCCCCATTTCTCCTTTTATGTCATCAGGCCACACCCTTCAGAAAAATGGGGGGACAAGTAAAAGAAGAGGAGTCATGGCTTTCTTTGAAGCATTTAAGCAGAAACATGTCAGGCATAGCCCTTAGATTAGAACAGAGATACAGGGAAGATATCTTTTTTTAGTTTATTGCCTGTTTTATAGATATTATAGAAAGTTTGTTCTGTCATTTGAGAACTAACAGTTGTTTACTATAAAGTGATTCTGGGATAATTCCTGGTGCTGAAATTCTGCTGTGCTATATTAGTAAGTTACAGTAACCAGGTAGAGGTATTTGATGAAAATATGCAGTATGACACTGAAGATTAATTAATAGCATGGTACTGTATATGCATATCAGTGATCAATTTTCAGCTAATTAGTGCCCATACTGACCAATCAGATTACAGCTGTTATTAACAGTAATGAAGGCTGCTATCTATTTGCTATGAGCTATAATACCACATGGTCCTTTGTGTAGGGTGCTCATAGGGAAAATAATTATTTTGTTTTTGGTGGAGGGTGATTAGGGCACTCTGTATGTAAAACTATACCTACCTCTGAGTTTGCCACTATACTCTTCCTCCCATTGCTTTTTGTTAGAACTGTGCATCAACCCCAGGTACTACAATGGACTATCTTCTAATATACTAACAGGCCCAACAGTGACATCAGCAAGGGGGGAGAATGCTAAAGAAACATGGGTTTTCATATATTAGCAAGTGTATCTATGTACAAAAATGTATCCAGGGCCATAAAATATTGTAAGGAGTGAAGCACCATGATCAATGTACAGTACATTTTGCAAGCCCATTCAGTACTGGTCTGACTTCATTACCTGAATTCTGATTGGTTGCTATGAGTTACTGTACTTTTCCTCTTGCACTCTTAATTCATAAGCCAAAATGTGTCCTAAAAAACCATTGCACACACCTAATTATTTTTGTTTTTCAAAGGTCACCTACTTTTAAAAGAAAGAATAAAAAAATATATGCCTTGCAAGCCTTCTTACCACATAGAAATCCTTAAATGCATTCCAAGCAGCATAGAGTATTGTATTATTTGAAGGATTTGTTGTATATGGAAGAAATTATCTACTTTGATGCTGTACCAACCACAGCTGCCAGTGCTGCAGCAAGTGTGGGGACACATAGACCAAGGAGACAAAGGCGTGTTGTTCCTTATGTAAGAAGTAGATGTAAAGTCTATTGAAAGTATTTGTTAGGTGATGTAAATGTTAATCCTCGCTCTGTGTTTAAGGAATGAACTGCACTGTAAAATATGCTTTAACTGTAAATATTTAATAGCACCACTAGTTTATCGGTGGAATTGTTCTTAATAAATCTGATGCATTGGCAAAAAAAAAGGTATGAAAATTATTTTTAATTTCTCATGTCGGGCATCTGACGTTATTATTAAAATGGTATAATTTGTAAAGGATAAAACACAACTCCATCTCAGGTGCAGAACTGTCTGTTTGAACATTGTTAGTAACAGCCAACCCAAGACGTATGGTTTTTAATGTAAATTGGTGAGCTAAATTGCCACATGGTTTCATATATTTATAGCAAACTCCTTTGGCGAGAGCTCTCCTTAAAGCGGAATTCCAGGTTGTTTTTTTGCATAGATACATTGGTGCAGCTTGGACCAATGTAAGTATACACATTCCATATTTTGGCTAATCCATGTGGAAGCAGAGAACTTTAGTAGTTGCTGCTACTACAGTGATCCTGTCTGGTTTCCAGGATCCATGCACTAATCACAGGGGTTCACTTGCTTGGCACAGGTGCCATTCAGAGAACATCTTGAATTCTTCTCAATGGATGTAAAGCGTTCTTAGATTGGACAAGGTGGAAAGTTAGGGTAGACACTTTTCATTCAAGGGAAAAAAAATACAAGGAGTTCCCTAAATCCACTAGTGCCTAGCCGGAAACCCCTGTAGTTACTATTCAGCATGGCAGACGTTGGGCACAGGACCCAGAAGACAGTGAGGATCACTACAGTGGCTACTACAGTGTTTCCACTGATTGGTAAAGTATGAGATATAAATACTTACATTGGTCCAAGCTAAAAAAAATCAATACCTGGAGTTCAGCCTTTAAAGTCTCAGAGATGAGTCTGCATCCTGCATAGTGTAGATTTTTTTGCTAAAACTAAACTTCAGGGGCAAAGTTATACACACATCTTGAATACTTTCATGGTAACTCTTTAACTGCTTATGTGTTTAGTCAGTATTGTGATCCAAGAAGCACTGCTTGACAGCACAGCCAGGATCTTAAAAGAGAAGTACAGGTTTAAAAAAAAAAACATTTACGCTCACCTATGTAGACGTAGCATTGATCTGATGCTGTAACTGTCCCTGCCGACTCCACACTGAGAACTGAGCAATCAAAGACTACTGATCACTCAGGCCACTCTGAGCACAGAGTGGTAACTGTCAGTCACAGCTCTGCAGTCTGCCCCTCCAGCACTCACTGGAATGCTGGGCTGTGGGCTGTGGAGGGGGCGGGAGCAGCTGGCTCAGGCTCTCGGCAGTGCACTGAGATGCTGAGCCAGCAGCTGGTCAGGTATCTGGCTGGATCCCAACAATATTGTCAGGATCCCTGCAGAGCCTGGGCTGGTGCTATGATGTCAGCCAACAGCAGGGAATTTTTATTTTTTGTTGTTTGAACAGCGGACCTTAGCCCACTGTGATCTGAATCTCACAGGAGTGCAAAACTAATCGCATTCCTGTGACCCACAGGAGAAGTATGGTCTAAAAAACTTTGGCCATACTTTTCCTTTAACCTCCACTGTAACAGAAGTGCAGCTGGGTCAAGAACACAACCCTAGTCTTCTGATTAGACACTAATTGAGCACCAGTACAGTGATAAGTCGGCACTTTTCCTTCTTGTCCTGTCAACATGGTTCCTGACAGCATATTTACATTGCAATAGAGCCAGAATGGCTAATACAGTAATTCTGACCTTCCATCTCTGCTTCTGTGAACAGTCCTACGGGGGTAAAGTATATATAACAGCAAATGCATACACGATCTGCATTTATAAATACAATCATTTTTTAATACAGATCTGCAATAATTTAAATATACAGTGGATATAAAAAGTCTACAACACCCCTTTTAAAATGTCAGGGTTCTGTGATGTAAAAAAACGAGACAAAGATAAATAATTTCAGAACGTTTTCTACCTTTAATGTGACCCATAAACTGTACAACTCAGTTGAACAACAAACTGAAATTTTTTAGGCAGAGGGAAGTAAAAATAAAAAACTAAAATAATATGGTTGCATACAGTCATGGCCGAAATTGTTGGCACCCTTGATATTTCCCCAGGAAATCATGTATTTCTCACGAAACGTATTGCATTAACACATGTTTTGCTATACACATGTTTATTCCCTTTGTGTGTATTGGGACAAAACAAAAAAAGGGGAGGAAAGAAAGCAAATTCGACATAATGTCACACAAACCTCCAAAAATGGGCTGGACAAAAGTATTGGCACCCTTTCACAACTGCGGATAAATAAGAATGTTACAACCATGTGATGCTCCTGTAAACTCACCTGGGGCAAGTAACAGGTGTGGGCAATATAGAAATCACACCTGAAAGCAGATAAAAAGGAGAGACGTTCACTTAACCTTTGCATTGTGTGTCTGTCTGTGCCACACTAAGCATGGACAACAGAAAGAGGAGACGAGAACTGTCTGAGGACCTGAGAACCAAAATTGTGGCAAAATATCAACAATCTCAAGGTTACAAGTCCATCTCCAGAGAACTAGATTTGCCTTTGTCCACAGTGCGCAACATTATCAAGAAGTTTGCAACCCATGGCACTGTAGCTAATCTCCCTGGTCGTGGACGGATGAGGAAAATTGATGAAAGATTGCAACGCAGAATAGTCCGGATGGTGGATAAGCAGCCCCAAACATGTTCCAAAGACATTCAAGCTGTCCTGCAGGCTCAGGGAGCATCAGTGTCAGCGCGAACTATCCGTCGACATTTAAATGAAATGAAACGCTATGGCAGGAGACCCAGGAGGACCCCACTGCTGACACAGAGACATAAAAAAGCAAGACTACAGTTTGCCAAAATGTACTTGAGTAAGCCAAAAGCCTTCTGGGAAAACGTCTTGTGGACAGATGAGACCAAGATAGAGCTTTTCGGTAAAGCACATCATTCTACTGTTTACCGAAAACGGAATGAGGCCTACAAAGAACAAAACACAGTACCTACGGTAAAATATGGTGGAGGTTCAATGATGTTTTGGGGTTGTTTTGCTGCCTCTGGCACTGGGTGCCTTGACTGTGTGCAAGGCATCATGAAATCTGAGGATTACCAAAGGATTTTGGGTCGCACTGTAGGGCCCAGTGTCAGAAAGCTGGGTTTGCGTCCAAGATCCTGGGTCTTCCAGCAGGACAATGACCCCAAACATACGTCAAAAAGCACTCAGAAATGGATGGCAAAGAAGCGCTGGAGAGTTCTGAAGTGGCCAGCAATGAGCCCAGATCTAAATCCCATTGAACACCTGTGGAGAGATCTTAAAATTGCTGTTGGGAAAAGGTGTCCTTCCAATAAGAGAGACCTGGAGCTGTTTGCAAAGGAAGAGTGGTCCAAAATTCCGGGTGAGAGGTGTCAGAAGCTTATTGATGGTTATAGGAAGCGACTGATTTCAGTTATGTTTTCCAAAGGGTGTGCAACCAAATATTAAGTTAAGGGTGCCAATACTTTTGTCCAGCCCATTTTTGGGGTTTTGTGTGACATTATGTCATATTTGCTTTTCTGCCTCTGTTTTATATTTGTTCCAATACATACAAAGGGAATAAACATGTGTATAGCAAAACATGTGTTAATGCAATACCTTTTTTGTGTGAAATACTTGATTTTCAGGAAAAATATCAAGGGTGCAACAATTTCGGCCATGACTGTAAGTGTTCTCCCCCCTTAAACTAATACTTTGTTGAAGCACCTTTTGATTTGATTCCAGCACTCAGTCTTTGTGTATGAGTCTGTCAGCATGGCACATCTTGACTTGGCAATATTTGCCCACTCTTCCTTGCAAAAACACTCCAAATCTGTCAGATTGCGAGGACATCTGTGCACAGTCCTC